CCCCAAAACCCCAAAACCCCAAAACCCCGGGCTGAAGATTAGATAAAGGTTTTAATTCAAATACAAATTAAAATAATAACATATGGAAGAGGATGAGGAAAATAAAGATCCGATTGCAAACAAAAAAGCACAGCTGGATTTCATAGATGATGGTATTTTGGCAAAGTATGAAATAATCAACAAAGTAAATTTAGCCATATAATAGTTAAGGTCGGAAGAGGAGCATACGGAATAGTGTGGAAAGCTATAGAAAAGAAAAACAGAGAGGTTGTCGCATTGAAGAAAGTATTTGATGCTTTTGCAAATGCTACTGACGCATAAAGGACATTTAGAGAAGTGTGCTTTCTAAGTGAACTTGGAACTCACGATAATATTGTCAATTTAATAAATGTCAAGAAAGCTAAAAATCATAAGGACCTCTACATTGTTTTCGACTTCTTAGAGGCTGATTTGCATACTGTAATTAGGGCGAATATTTGTGAAGAAATTCATAGACAGTACATAACTTACCAAGTCTGCAGGGCTTTGAAATATTTGCATTCAGCAGATATTTTACATAGAGATATAAAGCCAAGTAACATATTGATAAACTAGGATTGCCTAGTAAAACTCGCTGATTTTGGGTTGGCTAGATTTATGTTTTAAACCGATAACTAAATCCCTCTACTATCTGATTATGTTGCAACCAGATGGTATAGAGCTCCAGAGATATTACTAGGTTCACCAAGATATGATTACTCTGTTGATATGTGGGCTCTTGGATGCATCGTTGCGGAATTATATTTAAATAAGCCACTTTTCCCTGGATCTTCTACTTTAAATTAACTAAGCAGATTAATTGAGATTACTGGCAAACCGACTGTCGCTGATTTATAGGATATTCATTCTCCCTTAGCCATGACTATGTTTGAGAGTTTGAATTTGAATAAAGACAAGAAGCATCTGAGAGAGGTCATTTTAACAGCTGACCCAATTGCTATTGACTTTATCAACAAGCTATTGCAATTTAGACCAAGTAAAAGAATGAAAGCGGAGTAGGCATTAGCTCACCCTTATCTAAAAAGGTTTCATAACTAATCAAATGAGCCTGAATGCATTAAAGATATAAATCTCCCTTTAGATGACAATAGAAAATTTGAAGTGAAAAAATACAGAGAAGAGCTGTATAAGTTCGTTGAAAGAAGGACTAAACAGCTAAGAAGAGAGAGAAGAATGATGAACTATTATATGAAATATAGAGATTATAATTGAATTTAATTGCAATTAACATCAATGAGTTACTCAATTTATCCTTGTGGGGTTTTGGGGTTTTGGGG